TCCCTGAGGGGCACTGAGTCAGCGGAAGAGAGAGACAACCGCCTGCCAGCACCTGCCGCCAACCAGCAAGGTAGCTCTCAGAGCACTTCGGATCAATGTCGTATCACTGCAGCTTTGTCAGAAGCACGCCGCGTTCGACGCTATCAAAGGTATGGCTTAGATCAATGGAAGTGAAGGCAACAATGTGCCCAACGTCACTCCGGCATACCGCCCACACGACGGCGTCGGCCAGGGCGTCCTCTGTCGAGTGGCGAGGGCTGTAAGCATGCTGTGAAGGAGCTAAATCATTATCGTAAGGAGGTGGAACGACAGCTGCACGCACACGACTTTTCCCCATATTTTGTACACTTGAGACAAAATTGATATTCGTCTGAAATTACTAGCGATGATACGAAGGCCAGATTTGTGTGCATGGATGACAAAGGCAACCTTGCAGGAATCGGGAAACACACAAGAGGCGACAGATGTGTTGATGAGACGAAACAAATATGGCTCAATAACGGGGAAACATTACCATAATGCATGCAGTGGCAGTCCGTAAGATCCCACCAGCATGGATGATGACATCTCGCCCATACCCCTCGTTAGTTGGAGCAAAGTCGTAGGACGTCGACTTTGACTGGCAGTGGTCACACACGGTTGCCTAGGTGGAGGGGAGGGATCGCCAAGACTGCCCGCTGCCAGTTTGGCAGCGATGTGCAGGCCGATTGAAGCGCAATGCTGTTTTATTTTTTTAAAAGTCTTTAATTTCTATTATTTTTTTAATTTTAATTCTTCACGTTACTCCTGTCTCCCTTCTCCATACGTCGTCATTGTCGTTGATATCCCCCCCCCGCTGTAACGTTACGCGTTTATCGCTCTGTTCCACTGTGGGTGAGTTACAATATTGAATACAAGCAGTCTCTGTATTCACACGTTTAACTCGACACCTATCTGGGAACACTGCGCCTAGCTCAGCGCCATAACCTTAACAACTCAACCGCTTCCGCTCCAGCGCGAGCTCAGATCTCTTCTACCGCGCCACTGGTTGGTGCTGCCACCTGGTTGCCACGGTCACCGCAATCACTAGTTACGTCATCACCTAGCAGATGTCGCCAGATACACAAACCTAGCCAAACGTGCACGACACACCACACCTCCCTATCTCCTCCAAGCTCCTCATCTTGGCCACGTTAATTCTTTGTTTTCATTGTACTTCGTATTTCTACACTGTCCATGTTTCTGGGTTTCTACGCTGTCCACAGTGCCACGCCAGACCAAGATGCCATGTTCTCCAACGGTTGTCCTGTTCTCCATGTTCTCTTCATGGGAACAGCGGTTAGCTACTAGATCACCGAGCGTAAGTCCTCGGGTCCAATGCCTCTCAATGCTATTCAGCTAACTGCAGGGTGTACGTACTAAGGAAAAGGTGTCATTTCAAAGATCGGGGTGTAGCCATACCTTGTCGACATATTGGACATGATACACACACACATACACACACACACACACACACACACACACATATATATATATATATATATATATATATATATATATATATATATATATATTACTGTGTACGTGATCAGTTTCCGTCTGTCCCGCCAACGTGATCATCGTCCTGGTGGCTTAGGTGGTTTAGGTGGTTCAGGTGGTTTAGGTGGTTTAGTGGTTTAGGGCGCCGGCGTTGTGAGCGCTTACGCACTTCGTGTCGGGTTCGACCTCAAGAGCGGCGGTCTTTCTTTTGTAAGGAGGCCTTTTATTTTCGCGTCTGTTCTCGAGGCCACATGATCACATGACCCGGCCAACCACACGCCGGAGAGTAGGTCACGTCTGGGGTCGGGGTCGGCAGTGGGTCAGTGGTGGTCCTGGCGGCGCCGGGGAAGGTAGTCAGCTCTCGTTGATATTCACGACGTAGCTGGCTCCTCTCCCTCCGCTCCCTTTGACTCCGACTCCGGCTCTTCTACCCTCAGCTCTCGTTGATATTCACGACGTCAGCGGGTCCTTGTCAACATTGCTATTCACCATGTTGACACATCTTTAGGGGCTGTTGTTGTTACCGACGACTGCAACCTCCCCTCGGGATTATAGCCGCCGTGCACTCTTACCGAACATGGTCTAGCGATGTGGGAAATTTGGATGACTTCATGCATATATGCTCCTGTAATTAATATACCCCATTTTGGTTAAACGCCTTCGGTCTACTAGAGATTAAATCGAGCCCGCCCAACATAACAATATATACAAGACTGCCAAGACATACATACACATATATCAAATTTATGTTTACACACACACACACACATATATATATATATATATATATATATATATATATATATATATATATAGATATATATATATATGTATATCCAACGTGTAGCAAAGTCTTTCAACATTTGTACAGCGGGCTCGTAACATTTACGCGTACAGCGACAGGCAGATGAGCCAGGGCGGTGGAGGACGGTTTGCCGCTACCAATCGGTACGAGTGAACTGCGGTTGCCGATCGGTACGAGTGGACAACCGTGGACCGAGACGACGGCCGATTGACAATACCCAACTGTGGGCTTGGTGGCTTGGTCTTCTTTAGACTCGTCTTTTGTTCCACAGGTCTATTTCACGATGCTGGAGGACCTGATGACGCCGGCGCCACCCGGGCTAGCCGCGAGCCCGCCCCGCTGTGTTCACCTTATTTGCCTGCGGTTGCGTTCACGGCGCTCGGGCCTTGGACGGCCTGCCGCTGGCAAGCATAGTCGCTGACCCCGGCAGTGGTGTCGTCGCCGCCGGCTCTCGTGGCGCTGGACGCCTCCTCCGGAGCGATGTCATCCTGGGTCACGGAACCGCGCATGGCTGTGGCGGCCACGACCAGGCACAGCAGGGCAAGGCTCACTCGGAACATGGTGTATAGATAGATGGATAGATAGAGAGAGGTGAGAGAGAGAGAGAGAGAGAGAGAGAGAGAGAGAGAGAGAGAGAGAGAGAGAGAGAGAGAGAGAGAGAGAGAGAGAGAGAGAGAGAGAGAGAGAGAGAGAGAGAGGAGAGAGAGAGAGAGAGAGAGAGAGAGAGAGAGACCGGATTTTGCCAAATTTACAGACAACTACCAAATATGCTAATAGGTCGTCTCTAAAAAACTAGTAAAGATTAGTTTCAGATTATTTTTCATCCAGTCTGCACACTCATGTTGTTTTGTACCAAACGGTAGCTTGATCGTTTATCTATGTGGAACCGCAGCACAGTTTAAGTTCGGTACCACACAAGAGAGGTTACGTAACCAAACCTAAGATGACCTCAGCAGACCTGACCTGACCTAACCTTACCTTGCCTAATCTAACCTAAACCTGAGCACAATATTCCCTGCGCGCATCGTGTGAAGCTTTCTTTTTGCAATACAATGCGAAGGGCTTGCTGCCTCTGTAAAATCATACGTCTCGTTTCGTTTATTCCGGTAATTGTTTGTCTGTACTCATGTGTGCTTGAAAATGACTTACTTTGCCGGCAAACATTAGTGATTTAATAGGTGCCTGATTCTACGACTCTATACTTTATACTATACTACGCAGTATTGTATCGAGGATTATCTGTAAATTAACGTGCGCATAAACTGAACCCAGAAACCACAGCCACGGCCAACTAGTGCAATCTGATTCGAAGCAGTGGATATCAGTCTGAGGTAGAACGTCAGATGTAAGCCGCTGGTATACCGCCTTCAGTCTGTGCCGCTAGTGAACCTAGTCGCTTGATTTGACCAGTGCAGAGAAACACAAGATCCGCACACTGGCGTGGATCACCGTCGCTGTACATGACTGAAAACAAGGTTTTCAGGACAGTTGGGTTCAAACGACACTGTCGCTTGTTTATTTTAACACTTGACACGAGTCACACCCTGCCGTTCCGACGACTCATCAACACACATATACATCGACTTGTTAAGCCAAAACAGTGCATCCATCTATCCCACATGCATGTGGCTGCTGAAAATATTCATGGGTATGTCACCTTAAACTGACTGTCCGTCCCTTTTCACAAGATAGTGTTCACTCATAGCAAATATGAAAAAGGGCGCACGGCGTGAACTTAAGTTGTGACCTCGATGCTGCCGTAATCATCACTGAAAGAGATCAGCAACCACCCGCCAGCCCGCCACGGAACCGTCGCGTAACACTGAGCTTCGGTCTGCACAACACGAGGTCGAACACGTCTGTTTTGATTGTTTCCGCCTGCCGCATCGCCGTCCGGCGACACTTGAAGACGTGGGCGGAAGAGCTCTGGTGTGCGATATGCGTGCGTGCGTGCGTGCGCGTATGCATGAGTGTATGTGTGCTTGCGTGAATGCATGCACGCATGCATGCGTGCGTGTGTGTGTGTGCACGTGCGTGCGTGTGTGTGTGTATGTGCGTGTGCGCGTGCGTGCGTGTGCGTGCGTGTGTGTATGTGTGGGATGTAAAGTGCGACCTTCGAGACCCACAAAACACGTGGCGGCGCGGCGGCGCGCTCAGAACCCGACTCGGCCTGTCCGCAGCAACACTCAGAACACTTCGGGGCGAACACGAAGCAGACACCACTCAGTCATTACGGCGTTTCACGACAGGCGGCCCACGCGTTCTGCGCAGTCTACGCAAGGTCACTGAATGGGATAAGGTCATCCGTGCCCGCATCAGTACCGGTGCCTCCGGCGACCACGTCAGGAAGCCAAGCTCTGAGCAGCAGCCAATCAGCTTCCGCCGAGACGTTCAACGAGCACATGGAGCACATCGCGTTGTCGTGCGCGGACGCGGCGTTTTTACACACGCGGAAAACAAATGAAACGCCATGACGGTGAGCGCATTGTGACATGGATCGAAGACGTCAAAACACGCACGATGTAGACCATGATCATTCATAAGCATGTTACAAAAGCAGAAGCACTTCGGCTGCAGCTGCAGTAATGCGTGAGGACCTGTACATCATTGGTCACGATTCGATATATAGATCCCCTCCCCCCCCCCCCCCCCCAATACACCCTCTCTCTCCCTCTCTCTGTCCCAGTGGTCCGCAGCCAACGGCAACAGCCAACACCACGTGTGACGCCCTGGGACCAAGCCGCGGTCATGCAGAGATCAGGACACCGCTTGAAGCGCAAACCACACAGCTCGCCGTTGCGTTTGGCAGCACCGCAAGGACATGACGGGAAGGGTTACCGTCCCTGAAATTGCTCACATAGCGGCAGACTCGGCGCGCCTCGCCTGTGACGCAGATAGCGGAAAAATACTGCCCCGCCCCAGTCTCTCACCTCACCGTGAGACTCAGGTCAACGCTGGCTCCACTCCGGAGTCTCTCAAAGTCAGCATGTCTCAGTCAGCATCCGTTGGTCCCCATCCCGCACCGTCAGCAGCGGCGTTCACCTCAGCGCCCGTCAGAGGGTCAGACCACCTCGCCGTCGGTCAGAGGGTCAGACCACCCGAGCACCGGTCAGAGGGTTAGGCTAACTCAGCGCCGGTCAGAGGGTCAGACCACCCCAGCACCGGTCAGGTTAGACCACCCCAGCACCGGTCAGAAGTTTAGGCTACCTCGCCGTCGGTCACAGGGTTAGGCCACCTTGGCGCCGGTCAAATGGTTAGGCTACCTCGGCATCGATCAGGGGGTCAGACCACCTCAGCACCGGTCAGAGGGTCAGACCACCCCAGCACCGGCCAGAGGGCGGGCCGCGCCGGCGGGCCATGGTCGGGTCGACATTGCTGCGGCCCTCGGCCCCGAGGCGGGGATCTCCGCGCCTGGAGTGTTGTCAGCCCCAGCCGGCGTTCTCGCGAGCCGATCACCCCCTCCCCCTCCAACCACCTCGAGGTCGTTGACGTGTTGTTCTGACCGGTGAGGGGCATCCGACCGGGCGGACTTCCCTGAGAGGACACGCCCCACCCAGACCATCGTGATCACAGCTTGTCCTTGCGAGTGCGCCAGCGCCTCATCGCTCCCTTCCCCTCCCTCAGTCTGGCAAGGAAACTGCATGTTCACGAGGACATCGACCGCTGTCTGTCCGGCGGAGGGCCCACTCACAACGGACTTCGGTCTGTCTGTCCGGTGGAGTGCTCACATCCAACGGACTTCGCCCCCGGCCTGCCGGCTCCGCCAGACTCTCTCCGGCCAGACTGCGGGCCGTCCATCAGACCTCGTTGCCTCTGAGAGCCAGACTGTCGGGCCCCAGACTGGTGTAGGCGTCCAGCCGCAGCGCCGCGCCAATGCTCGACTTCCGCCGGCCGGGCGCGCTCTGTGAGAAGTAGCCCTCGCGCCGCGGTTTCAGATGACGGTTGTTGGCCTCCATGTGCACGATCTTCATGAACTCGATCTGCGCCGCCAGCTTCTGCACCTCCTCCTGTGGTGGCACGGGTTACAGGTCAGTTGGCTTGCAAAGGTCATGCAGGTCATGGCAAAGGTCATGTGTTCGCACATGTGCAGGGGCTAGTGACAAACACCGGCGACAGAGGTCGTATAATTTGCAAAGAACGCGGACGTCCGTAATTAAGGCAGCCTGCAGAGGAGGCATAGTTAACACGGAACCCATGAGCTGTGCGCAGAGGTCACGTGCCTTCAGAGGTCACGGAGGAGACGGATGGGCCGAGGTGCCTTCAAACATAGTTATACTTATTCAAGCTGTCAGCTATCCACAAACAACGAGTTTCTGTTCTGTGTTGTGGTTCGGCATGTGACAGCAGCAAGAAACCTACCACTTTCTTTTTAACTGGTGTACCAGAAGTGCTGAAACACAACGGACCAACATTTCACAATTTCACAATTCTCCGATAACTCTCTAGAGGCGGGAGTATGAACCTTTAGTTCTTCATTCTCCCGATAGATGCTGATGTCCTCCTCGTCCTGGCTCGATGCCGTTCAGGTAGAAGGAGGCGGCGGCGCCGCGGGCCTGAGCCCGTGCGTCGTATTCGTCGCCGAGCCCGACGGCGATTCTGTAAAACTGTAGCAGACGCTCTCTTCAGGAGGGCCTCACTTCAGCGCACCACTCACGCCCCCAGGCCAAAATAAGAGGAGTGGTTCATGACGGAGAAGCGGAATACGGAGCCGGTGACGGGTAACCGTTTGTGGATATCATTATTTGCGAGACTGTGGCAGGGAAAAACGAATGCAGTCGTTTTCGTGCGGCGGGATATACCGATTATAAAGAGGGAAGCCCTTCCTGAACAGGGTACGCCGCCACGCACGCATAAGACTGCATAGCACGCTACTTCGCTATCACGTAAAGCATAGGTGGTGCAGCTAGATAGGCGCACGCTTCAGCCTCGGCGCCAATAAGAGTGCAGTGGTGATGCAGTGTACATAACATCTCCGCTGAAGCCGGGAGCTATTTTCGCCCGCGTGGTGAAAAAGAGGCTGGCATGCACCTCTCGCCATTTCATTCAAAACTGAACTAAGCTCGTCGACAAAAAAACGTCGGCAGCATGGCGTCTCAGGGATACCAGCCGCAGTCGGTTCGGTCTCTTGGCGTCAACCGATGAACGCCCAACTCAGGTCACACATTATGCTAAAGGATCCAAGGTTACATTTAGGCCACGACTTCCTTTACATGTCACGATACCTACTTAGCCCTTTTGTCGCGAAATCACGTTCTGAATCAGATTTAGTGCGCTAAGTGGTCAAAGCATGATCTATGATAGCAAACTGTCTTCCTAAGTCATTGCAACACATTGATTAAGGTCATGAACTGCAAAAGTGATTGATATTGTTGCAGACTGTTACACTCTGCAGATCGTGCGCCCATCGGTGACATTCATTGCCAGTGAAGAAGAAGAAGAAAAAAAAAACACCAAACACTTTTGAAGCAATTACGACTTTGCAGCCCTCCAAATCTCACAGCTCAGCGAGTTCACACGGTTTGGAACCAATTGTTGTGCAACGCACGCCATGAGCGGATTCGAATATCCAAGATGTCGCGACTCTTCCTTCCATCGCTCTTTAACGTTCCCAGAAATACCGCTTGGGAATACCACAGACACTCTGTTAAGGATAGGGCCAAGTATCTTACCTTGAGGAACAGGCCAGTGTGATAACGGCACCGTGTGCACACTGTGTACACCACCTTATGCGCCGAGCATCTGAACGGAATGATCGGATCATTCCAACGGGTACTGTGTGCGGCCATCAGGCCTCCTTCTTTGGGTTGTAGGGCCAGCGCAGCGGGGGCGCCGGCTGGCTCCAGAGTGCACTACTGTGGGTCACATGACACCTCGGTGGCGGTGCTGTGCGTACCCTATCTCTGGCACCAAAAACAAAGGCACAGCACCGTTGACGAGACTGTTCAGTCTCCTGCCTTGGGCGCCAGGATCAGTGCGATGGTGTTAGTGGTGCTGAGCTAGGTCCTCACGAAGACCGTTAAGTCTCCTACCTTGGGCGTCAAGATCAGTGCGATGGTGTTAGTGGTGCTGAGCTAGGTCCTCACGAAGACCGTTGAATCTCCTACCTTGGGCGCCAGGATGAGTGCGATGGTGGTGGTGGTGCTGAGCTGGGTTCTCACGAAGCCACACAGATACTTCACGTCCGGTCCGGACGGCACCAGCAAACTGAAACAGAGCCGCAGGCAGCATCAGCCGCAGCTCAGCCTACAGCGGCGACAGCTGTTTGGCAAACAAGTCAGCTCGTGCAGTGTCTGAGCACGCCTGGCGCGTCATGTCCATGCCATGTGGCAGTCACACAGCGTTTCAGTTTGCACGTCGCACCTTATGCCGGATACCCCCGACCTTCCAGCTCCATGTCGTGCCAGTCCCAACCGCCCGTCAGTTCCACGCCGTGCGTCAGAGCTACTCCACGCGTCAGTCGCTCCATGCATCAGTTCCATGTGATGCGTTAATGCCTCGCGAGGCTCCACGTCAGTATCCTCGCGTCCTCGCCGGGCCCTCCACTTCCTGCGTTTTCGGGTCACCGTGGCAACGCAACACAACACCGTTCCACGTCACCGGTTTAGTGGCCGGTTGCCAGCTGGCCCCACCACCACGAGTCGTCACTCACTGCACCATGGCCATGGTAATGTTGACGATGGCGATGTTGTAGATGGCCCAGCTGATGTACTTGGCCTCGTCGAACAGCGTCTGCGCATTCCGCACGTTGACGCACACCTTGATGCCCCAGAAGAGGAACAGCAGCTCCCCTGCCGCACAAGTATAGTCTCCGTCATTCAAGCCTCAATTCACGACCGCGGTATTTCACCTCGCGCTGTACTACGCGGCATGGTGTGTGCAAGAGAGAAACCTTCGGAATGACACTCGGTTTCTCGTCACATAACGACACTCTCAAAACGACGACACTCACTACATCGCCGTATAACGACACTCACTTCACCGCCATATAAGCACCCACCCTACATATCATCATATAACGACACTCACTACATCACCATATAACGATACTCACCACACCGCGATAAGACGACACTCACTACATCGTCATATAGTGACACTCACTACATCGTCATATAACGACACTCACTACATCGTCATATAATGACACTCACTACATCGTCATATAGCGACACTCACTACATCGTCATATAGCGACACTCACTACATCGTCATAAAGCGACACTCACTACATCGTCATATAACGACACTCACCACATCGTCATATAACGACACTCACTGCATCGTCATATAACGACACTCACTACATCGCCATATAACGACACTCACTACATCGTCACATAACGACACTCACTTCATCGTCATATAACGACACTCAATACATCGTCATATAGCAACAGTCACTACATCGCCTGATAACGACTGTACCGGCGTGAAACTGCGCAGTCAGGCGGCCCAGCAAATTGACCCGATCGATTGACCTGATCGAGCGGCTGCAACAGCCCGATGTTTCAGGGTATTGTTTTCAACACCTGCGCCTCTGACGTCAATTCCGCCGGGCACGTGTCCCGCGGACGACCAGAGTTTCATTAGGAACGTGCCGCGTGACCAAGCGCTTGCTAACTAAGCCCGATGTGGGACAAACACCAGAAGGACAGGCAAAACAGCCAGTGTTTGGCGTTCACCGTCAGTTCATGTCATGTCAGTATCGAAAAATGAATGAAGCTCTGCCCCTCTGTAGCAGTTTGGCACGAGTCAGAGCACAGGCGTGACCGGTGTCGTCACGCTTGTGACGACATATTGGGCTGTGGGCGGGGGTGTGGGCTGACCTGCCGCTATGGAGTGGTCCCACCAACCGAACTCGCACTGCCGGAACTGGAGGCCCTCGGCGTCCCGCACAACGACGGCCTTCGGAGGGTCACTGATGGTCCACGAGCTCAGGTAGATGATCTGCAGCGTGCGGACACACGGGAGGTGGCAAGGGCTCGGTGTCATGGGAGGCGACACGAATCCGGTGTCATGGGAGGCGACACGGATCGTGTGTCCCCGGAGGTGACACGGGTCCCGTGTCAGTTGGAGGTGAAACGGGTCAGGTGTCAAGAACTAGGTCAGGTGTCATGGGGAGTGACACGATTCAGGTGTCGCGGGAGGTGACACGGGTCCGACAGCTGATACAGGCCTCACTACAACTACAACACTACACTACAACAGACACGTCTGCGAACTAACGCAGGGCTGCGAAGTGAAAGTGGCAAGATCTGCCAAAAGGAGACTAGTCTGCCGACGAACACAAGGCAGCCCACTTTTACCGATCTCCAACTGGATCCAGGGCTTTCAACTGGACAAGAAACAATTTCGCCGAATGAAGCAGAACCACCGACTGAAACAGGTCACACAACTGACACCGGTCGGCAGTCTGCGTTCTGCATTTAAAAACGTTCACCCAACACGTGAATTGAGTCACGTCGACGAGCCGTTGCACCCAACGTCTAGTCGCCGACTCTTTACCATAATGAGCAGAATCGGGAACAGCCACTGCAGCAGCTGCTTGTCCGTGAGCTTCAGCTTGTGCGCCGACTTCACCCGATACGTCAGGGACACCCTGGAGCGTGACACCTGGCTGGTGACAGGGCGGAGCGCGGCGCAGGGTACCGGGCACAGCTCTGACGACACACAGCAGCACACACAGCGGTACAGCACAGCACAGCAGCACAGCACAGCACAGACGAGACGGGTGTGTCGTGACACGGATGTCGGCGTTCTCCGGGGAAACGCCTGGAGCTGTGACCGGATATGGTTGTCGGATATCTTAAGAGATCGAGCATCGCACGTATCGCCTTCTTGTGATGATTCTCATTGTGTGTGATGTGATTTACGGGTGATAAAACCTAGACAATGAAGCTTTTCAGGCTCATATGTACAAACGTATGCGTACAATATATATATATATATATATATATATATATATATATATGTATATATATGTGTGTGTGTGTGTGTGTGTGTGTGTGTGTGTGTGTGTGTGTGTGTGTGTGTGTGTGTGTGTGTGTGGGTATGTACACATTAGGTATGCGTTGGGAAAACCGTCTTTCGTGGCAGTGGTATCTACGGAGGATATACTGACGCAACATCCGTACGCTCATTTACGGAGCAGCATCGTGTGAAACTTGGTTGGCTGCTCTGACCAGGCCTTGCGACCTCAGTCGACGACAGCAATAGATCTGCACTGATCTACGGTTCGGCACCTCTGTCAAGGTGTTGCAAATGACTCAAGTGTTCTCATGTGTATTGTTTTCGAAGATTGATAACGACCTTAAAAAAGGTGTCATCGCCGACTGCCCAGTCTATTACCAGCGCATCTATGTGTAAATGCACACACACTATATATATGTATATATATATATATATATATATATATATATATATATATATATATATATACATATATGTGATTTGTGGACGGTATATTTGCCCACCTTAGGCACTTGGTCTGTCGTTCGTTCCTACTCTGGTTAAGGAGAACAGAGCCTAATTCTGAACAATCCCCAAATGGGCGGATCCCTGGTCGGCGCACGACAGCCTTTAATAAGATGAAACTACGAGCTCGTGCATTGTCCAACACAAATGCTGGTTTTTTCGTGAGTCATTTTTGGTTGATCTCACGTCTCTGTGACGCCTGGTCATTGAAATCTGCGCTGGCTTACGATTCGTGTTCTACAGGGTTTTTTCTTCACGATTTGAGAACTCCACATCCCTGCACTTACCGAATGGGCAAGATAAGATTGTAGTGATTTTGTAATATTACAGGCAACGCCACCTTGTCATGCATTCGATCTGCATGCAAGGAAAACATCTCCTTGAAAACAGCTTCTTGAACACGAACGCACATTTACAAACTCCAGCAGGACCCAACCACACGTGCTGATGTCTTGCTAACGGCGTGTTCATCTGCTGAACGCGGGGAGGGAAGGTCTGCATTCCTAGCTCCGAGGCTCCACTGATTGTGTAACAGGTACCAATCAAAATGGCCGATAATTTTCAGCAATATGTGCCAGATTGAGTGTACTTTGCCCATTTTGAGTATCTTTACTTACACTTTTAAACTTGGCGTTGCAAGTGAAATGTCCTGTCCTTCAAGAAAGGCGTGGTCGACACATGTTTGAGTACGTGGCAGCGAGCACGCCATAGTAAAAAAGAATCATTCGTCGCAATTAAGCTTGATACATATCACGGTGGTGGGCTACAGGTGCGTCGCTTTTCAGCTGGCTCAGTTCAATTAACTGCGTGTATAAACGCATTTGGAAGGCGATACAACGCAGGAATTTATTGGGACCCTCCGCTGCCGCGCTCGGCAGACCGGGTGGACAGCTCACAAAGAATTGCTTTCATACATTGGCGAGTAAGAGGCTCCTAAAGGCATTCATATACAATGCGGGGAAAAGAGCTGCGTCGCACTCGTACTTATTTGTGCCCTCTCCCTTCCCCTGAAGGCCGATAAATCCATAGTCTTCTTGTAGCGGTGTTTTCTGCAATAAAAAAGTGTCACCCACAAGATAACAATATTCGCGTTTGTCATCACCGTAGTTGGCCCACGTCGCAAAACTCGTCAAACCGGCACATAACTTACACCATTGGCCAAGCTGTCCCTACTTGGGATTTGTCAGCTTGCCCAAGTTCTTGTTACCAGAAAGATGTTCTTGTTTCTGTTTCCTCTGTTCTTACTGCAGTCGATCTTTCGATCAGTTTCCCACTACGTTATGCGCTACGGACCGCCTTGTCGTTTCAATCCGAATGGTTGAACCCTTGCAGACGAAACGTGCGACCGCAACCTTCCGAGGTAACGTCAGCAACCTCTGTAATTCTGGTCCAAGTGCGGCGTTAGGGCAAATTACTTGGCGGTGCTGCTGCGAGAGAGCCAGCAACACAGCTGCGAGCGAGCAAGCTAGCCGTGGACGTATCTCTGGCTCTGAGGTACTGCATGATCTGCACGGCCACGACTTCATCACTGTCTCTACGCGCATGCACCGTCATCAAATGACGCGGCGGCAATCAAATCTCTGCAGTAATTTGATCAGTCACTCAGACAGTGAGCAGCAGATCGAAAAGTGGCGACATCAAGGCTCCTTCATTTGAGTACGACGTCAGCCCAGCTATGAAATCAATATCCGTCCACGGAGTGCGTTGTTGAAGGTGGAGGGGCCCGGTAACTCAGTTGACCGGAGCGCCTGTATACGGAATTGACCATCCCTTTGCGGGGTGGGTTCGAGTCGTTTTAAACGCTCATTATTTGCCCCTGACCGGAATAGCTTGCAGCTGGTGGCAGCGGCTACGGTAGAGGTCAGATGCGTCAGAGGGCTGGACGGACCGTGCCAAGCATTAGGGCACGTTAACCTGCCGCATTTCTGCCGTTGACCTGGCATTTCACGACCGGATGGGGGCGTTAGGTCTCGCGCGACCAGCGCTGCTTAGTGTGGGCTCTCATGCCAAAAATCCATCTGAGCCAAGGGTTTGAGCTAAATCTTAAAACAGAAAAGACAAAACCGGAGAGCTGCACGCACTGCAGCACATATACAAATAATCTAAGTAAAAAGAGCAGGTCGGGCCGTGACAAGAACAAAAGATCGCATCAAGCAAAGCCCATACTTCCTGCAAAGTCGGACGGTAACCCCACTAATGCAGCAGAACGACGAGCCGTAACCCAGCGCACCAAACTGGGCAAGCCACCGCCGCGGGCATGTAGGAGCGCGTAGCATGGCGGCGGGCAGCGACTGCTACTGCGCGTCGACAGGATATTGCTTTCGTGGAGGAATCCGGGACACTGTGGCGCGAACGCGATGGAGCGCGCCCCGGCGACCGATTACCCGCGTTACTTGCCGCATCAAGCTGTGTGTTGCGCTGCTCAGCGGTGTGTTAATATATCCGGGTCTGGCTACGGAACGTGGCCGGCCGGAGCGCGAATGCAGCACGGGACACGTCATATCCGCCAGTGGGGCGCCTGCACTAGACTATCGGTCGGCGAGGCACCAGCTGGCGCCAGCACCAGGCGCCAGCACCAGCTGCCTGTTCAAACGTTCGGAATGTGGCTTAAAGGTGGGGTGCTGGGTATGGTCGAGTGAACCGTGATGCGAACATGGCCAAATCGCAAAACAAATACACGGCCAAATCGCAAATGCAAAGTGTTACGACCACATCAATAGTAAGGTGCGTAAAGCGATCGTGTATTTGCAGATGTGCCATGGTTCCATTATATGCCGTACTCAATGATCGCAAATTTCGCGTTCTGTCTTCGGTGAAGACAACCCGCCACCGAAGGATTTTGTGGCGCTGAATGCGGTGCAATGAGTCAGTAAAAACAGTCTACGTGTTTCACAATTCCGAGTTTGCTCTAGGCTTGGAAGTACCTAAGCTTTCAAGGAGTAGAGAATTGCATACAAACTTTCTTTGAGCCAGCGCTTGGCTGATGGCTACATGGCACGTGCCGTATTGCTGTTAGCACTCACCGCCAAGTTTTCAAGAGAAGCGCAGAGTACGTGATGCAGAAGCCCATGTGGCGAGTCCACTTGGTGGCGACACAGCTGTACACGTCCAGTACGGGAAAGATGGCGGCCATCTAAAACAAGGTGGCCGCCATTCACCACCGTCAGACGTCGTTTGCAACGCTACACTGCAAACCAATTGCGCACCTACTGGGCAATAATTTCTGAAGCCTAAGCCAGCCTCAAGCTCTTCCCTAGCACCGCGGGCAGAAAATCTATCAATTAGATAGTCAATCAGGCTCCAATCATCCAGCCGGCAGACAATCGGTGACAAGCCAGACCTTCTAAGTCAACGTCACACTTCGGACCAGTCTCTAGAAACCTCGATTTGACCCCGCCTGCCATGTCTCGCCAAACGCACCTCCATGGCGTCTCAATGAACGTGTCGTGCAGTACACGGTGCCACACGGAATCACGCCGTGCCACGTCGTTTGCTTACACTTCTCAGCATCCGCACCCCCATACATGGGGCATATCACCACACCATGCTAATGTCATGTCATGCGAGACCTACCCACTCCACCCACGCCGCATCATGTCACACCACACCATGCTGAACGCGACGAGCCTCCATGCTACGCCATGTGTTGCGGCAAAACTCCGTGTCGCGTCACTTAGGGCGGGACGCAAGTCCATGCAAGACCATGTCACGCCGTGTGGGAAGGGACAAGCACCATGTCATGCCATGTAACGCGGGACACACCTCCATATACATGGCGGCGCAGCCGAGCAGCGTAACGGTGAGGAAGATGGGCGAGCCGGACTTGATGACCTTCAGCCGCTTGTACCGCATGATCAGGCCGAT